ACTGTACGTTTACTGTATACATAAGTGAAAATTAAATTTGAATAATGCCGTCAGGAGAGGAACACTGGCAAATCTCAACATTTCTTATTGTCTCTTCAGTGCTAGCACAACATGAAGATATATAAGACGACAGGTAGGGTGAGACCGGAACAATTTAGAACATGGTAGGGGGCAGGCGTGACAACCCTACGCCCAGGGCATCCCTAGGCTTACGAACAACTGTTTGTACACGCAGAATGCGGGTTTGGTACGCCTGATGGCGACGGCTCTGCGAAATGCAGGAAACGGATGTTAGCATTTCTTAACACGATTAGAAACATTTTGGCCGGATCGAACTGATGACAAGTGGGCAGTAAATGTCTACCTATGAGTGATGCAGGTGGCTTACGTAAACACATGGTATGAGCGACCGAAAACTGGGTGATTTAACGATGCAACCATTTAGGTACATGTTCTCTTATTTTGCAGTTCAACGATCTATTGGTATGGCCGATGCAGTGTATACCACAACTAAAAGTAAATTGATAAATACAATGTGAGTTGGCGCCAATAGGTTGTCTTTCCGTCATTGGGGTAACAGGTACTCGATTAGTCCGGTTGATAAGAACAGTTTCGGCAGCATAATAAGTCCTCTGGATTGCGGAATTTATGCGCTTCGTTGTCCTCATATTGGCAAAATCTCCCTTAAATGTTAGCTTGACGTAGATATTCTTTTTAGACACTGTCGAAACGTTCTGTCCCGGCACCCTCGCCTGACTATGTCTGTCGATGAATCTAGTTGGATAGCCATTTTTCAACAGCGTTCGATTGGCATTGGATAAGTTCAATTGGAGCAGTCTCTCATTTCATACACGTACGCAACTCTTTAATGTAGTGGAACATTGGTGAAAAGCCATTGTGCATCCAATGTGGACCTCAATTTATCGCATGGGAGAAACTCATCTAAAGTGTTTTGAGGCTTGAAATTGATTTTGTTATGTTTCAGTCGATGCGCTTTGCCAGGAACCGGTGTTATTGTTTCACTTAAGCCGGGTTTCCGACCATAAGCATACTTATCAAAGTCAGCTATAATTGTGCGCAATTATCAGTATCAAGTTATTTAGCATGATATTAGATCAATTCCGAGCAGAGTGGTAGAGGTTTGAGTAAATGAGAAAAGTCAAATTTTGCCTGGCCATACCGACAGCATACAAAATCTCATCAATTTATTTTATAATGTTCCAGAATTTCCTCCTACATGAAGCAACTTGTCTTCATTAGAACTGGATGACCTATTGTCAACGATGCACTGCCATGCAAAGAAAACAAATTTGTGTATAAACCAATTAATATGACTGCTAAGCATTGTTTGTTTGTACTAAACCTGTGATGAAACATCATTTACTTCAGACGTCGTGTCAATTACAATGGCAGTGGACCGTAGGCCATAGTTGGACATTATGAATCAAACAATTGGATCAACCGTGGAGTTACACTGTGGAAATCAAGTTGGTGGTTTATCGTTTCACCATAACCTGCCCTATTCGTGATTACGTTGGTTTTAAAACTTATTTTGGCACAATTTACTTCTAATGCGCTTTACGATACAAAAAGGTTAAAAATCCTCATGTCCTGTATAAATACCGCTTACAAGCTACCATTTCAAATGATCGATTTCACATGGCATTTTTGGGAAAACGCTAAATCAATATACTCGCTTTGAAACACTCAGCGTTCGGTTTTTAAACTGAATTCAGAAGCGGGCTGCCGTCTGCACCGATGGTTCTATGATCCGCGAACAATGGAATTGACGTGTGTATGTAAAATGCGCGGCGTGAAGAGCAATGACAGAAAGTTACTGCAAGTCGGCGATTCACGAGCCGTTCTCGCAATCCCAGAAGATCGATTTGTTGAGCGTGAGTTGAGAATGCATAAAAACGCACTACTCCGTCTCCAAAAGTAGTATAATTCATTGTGAATTCAATGCAAACAACCGGTTTCTTTTGTAGAAATCGCATTTTTAAGTACCGCCGAATGAAACGGAAATAGTTGAAAACAAGATAATTCGAAATGACCCATTAATTTCACTCTCATTGCATAGCATTAGCGTTCATCTTTTATTCATCCTCCCGCTCTGATTTGTTATACATTCAAGATGACACTCTCGGCCAAGGCTCATTCGTTATGTCCTAATAACCCTTAATATATCTGAACTTTGAGTCATTGAAAAGTATGCTCTTATAAAGAACAGAACCTATTTATCGTTAAACATTTCCTACTACAAGTCAAGCAGAAATGTAGCGCCTGATAATAATTTACTCAAGTCTTAGCAGATGTCCTTAACCACTTAACGTTTGGAATAAGTGAATAATTCATTGGGTAATATCGTTTTAAATGTGTCGATCAATGTGTAATACAAAGCACTTCCTCCGCAGAAAATTATGCATTTATGCTGACAATCTTCTTCATACTGATCCCATTATGTAACAGCTGGTGACAGCCGGGAGCTTTGTGAGTCCACATTGTTTTGATTGATAGGGTTATCGGTTATTCATTCGATACTATCACGTTAGAAATGCTATGGCGATTCCAACAAACATCAGTCACAGCTGCGAACACTTAAAACAAAGTTATTTCTATTTGTTGACTAAAATTTGTATTCTCGTGATTGGTTGTTATTTAGGTAAAATTTAGCTACACCTTAGACGTATATTTGTGTGTGGGCGTGTAATCACAACACACCGAATCAATCATTTGAACGTTATATAATCTAATGCGTTTTGTACCATTATTTTATCAAGATGTGGACACAGTCATGCTAGTCGGGGAAAGCACGGCCGATATGTGCGCAATTTTTTTCGAAAAGGCAAGTACACAATTTCCTAAGTGCACAATTAGGTGAAGTTGTTACCTGTCAGCTTGAGCAAAAATGAAACTGCATTGCATCTTGTATTTCACAAACCAGGTCCTATCATCAATGTACTTCATTGGGTACTCAGTGCTTCTACGGAAACTTTTAGAAGTGATGAATCATCAGCTGAAAATTCACCAGAAATCTACTAATTGCCAATGGCTGGAATCCTAGCTCGGTTAATTTGTTTGGATGTCAACATGCAATCAAGCGACTACGGATATAATTGCTAGCGAATTTCATATGACAATGGCTCATCATACATGAATTGATCATGGACCTACAAGCACCTGAGCACAATTTGGTTTCAACAGGTGGTTTAAGACAAGCTAAGTGGTACTGCGTTCCATGCTTAAGCAAATCTCCTCCTACTCCAGGTATAAAATGATTTCTTCTGGCCGCTGCATTTGCATCCGAGTTCTAGGTCATTGCTGCTTGGGTAACTGATTAGTTATTGGTAACAAGAAGATGAGATATCACTGTGTAGCTGCTTGTTATATCACTTACGTAGAAAGATGCATTACGTTGGAGTGCTCTGGATATGTTTTATATTGGCAACTTGCTTGACCTAGACATTCTCAAATTCCAACACCGACTTTTCCTCAACTTCGTGCTGCGGCAAGTTGTTCAATGTATTCACCACTCTCAGTTCAAAACAGAGTTGGTGACCGACCCGCTTCAAATCCCGCACTACACGCTTGTACCTGTGTCCTCGTGTGTTGCATCCTGTGCACTGATGTAGCAACGGCCTCAACATGGTGTATGCAACGAGATGTAATATCCTGTGCGTCATGATTATGTCAATCCGCAGTCGATAAGAAACTAGCGTGTAAAGCCCTAGTTTCTTACATCGCTCTTTCTACGGCACACATGGTATATTCGGAATCAGCCTGGTTGTCGTATGCTGCGTTCACTCAATCTTTTCTATCGCGCCCCGGGTGATGAGACAATACGCTAGATAGCCATACTCGACCATCAGTCGAATTACTGAATACTGAATACGGCTTCGAAGCAGTGAGTAGAGCTTTCTCTGTGTAGCTGCATCATTCGTCGCTCTTGGACATATACTAGATATGTTCTGTTCTGCTCTGCATATATTTTGCGTCTGCAAAGTGTTTGTCAAGGAGCAAGTGGCAATCGCTTCGGATCAAGTGTTAAAGCTGCGCTTGCGCGCCCACAGCATATGAACGCTGTCGATTCAGTTGCACTTATTTAGATTGACGGATATGAAATCACAAATGGTTTGAACAGGTCTAAACTGTAGGGTATAATCCACAGATGTTCATTAGATGTCTTTGTGCAAAGGGATTCATGAGTGGGTCTACGCATCGATCCTATTATTCGGGATCGGGTATTCGTGGTTTTCGATACTGATAGTTATGCGACTAAATCTACCAGTGCGTCCGAATTCGTCTACGTATTTAAATCGTAGGTGGATTAGAGGCATCTGACCATATATGAAGGTAGCTGCACACACACCCTGTCAAGCAAACTGCGGAATAAATCCTGCGTTTCGCTGTAAATTGAATCAAAATAGGTTCAACATTTTACTAACAAAGTTCTGTAAAGTTATGTGAAACGATCTCATTCTGGTTGTACTCAGTTATTTCATGTGCAAATCATTAACCCTTGGTTGTTCCTATGACATACACGATGAAATATGAGGCAATGATGACGTCCATCTTACAATACGTTATCAAATCTCGTATACGGATTCTTTCCTATCAGTTAGTATTGCTTATGGGTCAATAATTGCCTAAATATCAGAAATGTCACTTATCAGCCGCTTTTAGTTAACAGAAGACAAGTGTTGCAAATAATATTTTATTCGCGTAACTGAAATATATATTTTGTTTCTTAAATTCACCAACACAGATACATAACACTCGTTAAAAGTGAGTACAAAAGAGACACGTACCTTAAGCCCGCAAGATGTTAAGTGGGATGCCAATGTCTACGAATATGTGACAAACATGCCTATTTGCTTCTGTTTACTAGGAGGCCTAACAAATAAAACTTCCTTTAATTGTAAACATTAGTCCTACCTAGCACACAATATCCTTCACGTGGATCGAGCTAATCTGTTGGTTCTTTTGTATTCCAGCGGTTCATGCACTGTCGTGTGGAATTCATTGAAGAATCGGTTACAAATCCTTCGAGCTTCCTAGCAAAACTGAACTTGCTGATGCCAGCAGAAATGGGCGACAAGTCGATAACAGAATTGACGAACCTGAAGGTCGCAAAAAACTTGAAGAAGCCTAGGGAAAACTGCATTTTCCCTGTACAAATACGACAGGAAGCTGCCTTCTATGGTATGCACAACGATTTAATTTTAGCTTTAACTAAGCGCCCATTATCCTAACAATAGATGTTAATCTAAGGAGCCTGTTTTACAACATTTGCCTCGCAAGTTGCATTTGAGTAATTATATCGAGGGAACTATCTCAAGAAGTGAGCCCACGTAATCTGCTTGTATTATGTATCTGAGGAGCTCTAGTATCCCCTCTTCTGTTGCATGGTATTAGACGATAGACCAAGAAGCTTACTTATGCTGACGTAAAGGTCAATGGAAGCAGCAGTAGCCCAACAAACGTTTGTGCGAGGAACGGGAGTACCAATGATGGTGGGGCATGTATATTACGTTGTCCCTGCGACGCTACAATTTCACAGTATTGATGCGAATGTATATATATAGATCAGTCTATTAGTGAGTATTAGAAGGCTTCTTGTGATTTGGATAATTTTCATCTTAATTTGGCTCATCCAAACGGCGTCCAACTTTTTGAACAATATTACGTAGTCGTTTCATGTGCAAGTTTTATACTTTAAGTTCATATACTAGTAGGTTCGTATATGCTAGCATTGTTAAATATTCAGGGTTTACCAATTCCACCGTCATGCAAACTCATTTGAAGGAGAATTACAGTTGCTTTAGATATTTGTATGCATGCCTAAGTAACAAATGTACAAAGCTTATTATTTAAGTATCTTTCTTTCAGTAGCCATGTAGCTTGCAACATTAATAGGTTTTGAATTATGGGTGACTTCATATATCTATCGTCGCACGGCCGTTGATCCCTATCTGTGCATGTAATCTGTGTTCAACAGTGCCTTCGCGCGCGCCTCTGACTGGAAAACCCTTCGGTGAGTCAAACTTTAGGTTTGTAGATGGGGCATTTACTAGATTAAGCAAAGTTAATGTAATCAAGGTTAATTCAATCGACATCAAATTAATGCGCGTCATAGCATTATCAAAAGAATGCCAGCGTTTTTTATAGCGCATGTTCATTGTTGAATAGTATGGGGCAGTTATGGTGTTTTTGAGAAGCTTCATTGAGGCTCATCTCAGCCCGACTCGCAGCCAAATCCAGGAAATCGCTAGATGGTTGTTTCGTGCTATTGGGACATGTCAATAACACTCATCCACAGAATACTGCAAAATTCGATCTCAAGACATTACTCTTAGGAGCCGGCGATTTATGCTACTGAGCCGTGGGTTACAGCCGCGGAGGGCCATAATTGATTTATAAACGCGATGTATCACGGCAGATTGGATTGCAATTTGTTTGATAGCGGAGGGCAATTGAAATCGTATTTCTAGAGGCTAGACTTCAGCACTGCACTTGCACTATCTATGCCGCCGGCAGGATTCGACGACTGCGCGAACTGACGACTCCCAATAGCACGAAGTGGTCGTCTAGCGCTGTTCTGGATTTGTACTGGCAATCTGGCTGAGTCGAGCTGAGAGTAATCTTCAAATCCTCTTTTCGCCACGACTGACGGCCTCATTTTTCTAGCCACTACAACCAACTTACATTCACTAGATATCATATGGACCACTTTCCTTTTTGCAACAGAATTTACAGTGATATTTAAGAAACTACATATCCCGAAGCAGAAGTACGAACAATTAAACAACACAGATATTTGCCACGGAGTAAGTGTTTTCTATCAATGGCTAAAGGTTTGACGTCACCATCGCTTGACTTCCAATTACTTAGAGTGCATGCAATGAAGCCGCTCTCTTCGTTGTACTATGCGTTCCTGGGAAACTGATGTGCATTGCCTATCCATTTTGCTTATCTTCAGCTCATGAACCTATCCGCCGGAATAATAACAAATTGCACCAACATCAGATCTGGGAATGTATACGTTATTGCTTCTGTTCAAAGCGGCCTAACTGAAGGCTCTGTCTACGAAGCGCAACTTCAGCTTATGGTCCAGCTAAACGCAAAGACTCCAAATGCGTGCTCGTTCAATGTGGTGCCCAAGACGATCTCCAAGGGTTACTAGACAAAATACGGAAACTTACTTTGCTATAAACGACTGCTTAAACGAACAGGTGTGAAAAGAACTACTTTTGCTCAAACTTTTAATTGTTAAGGCGTTACTCGCAATTTGTCATAAATGTAACCATTACTCTCCCCGTCAATATGCATGTGACACATTAGCTGCGAATGCTTGGGGAAAATGAAGCTCATATATACAAGTACTGTACTTATCACGTTATTGTTGAATACAAACGATGATATATCGGAGGCAATATTTTGCAAAGAAATTTGCTGCAATTTGATTTCGCATTCGACAGAAAAATGACATGTAGGCAACTCTTTTAATCAAGCATGAAATCTCTGCACAAGGTGTGGTCGAACTGTAACGACGTTCCTCTGCATTTGGATCTACCATTCGCAATACTTGACGCTAATTTCTGTGCTGTACTTCTCCAAATCGGATTTACCAGCGTTATCCATTGGATCGACCACTGTAGTAATTTTAACATACAACATCATTGCTTCCGTTACCGCATTTTCTGCAGGATTTTAGGCGAAATCTAGGCTTACCTCAGCCATATGTTTGAACGCATCATAAAATTTGTATCAGCATTCGACAAATTGCTCTTACGGCTATCCAACGATTCCTTTGTTACAAGTATCCGACACTTCGTCTGATAGCTGCAGTTTGTTAAGCAGTCAACATCCTAAGACGCGCCAAACTTGTGTGATTAATCCCACTTCCGTCTAAAGGTAAACTTTTGTCAGTTGTATGTTTGCTCGGTCAACAGCTCAGTGCCAACCGCACTAAAAGAACTTACTTAGCCATCTGTCGACTTTATTTGCAACTGTGGTCCACTCATACTCAACCGACCTCGTGTGTCTGTCTGAATACGCTCTACGATCGCAGTTTACCAATATGACTAAAGACTCGGCAATGGTTTTCAACACAACACCAAGGAAACCAATGTGCACACGGTCTGCTGAACCGGAAAAAAGTTATTTGTGTGTTGGAATCGTACTCTAGGACTATTCCAATTGGAATAACTTGTAATAACTGCGGAAAGAAATTTCCCTTTTCTGCGTAAATTTAGGTGTAGCGAAAATAACAGAACGGTATTGCACAGCAGACTCCATTTGTTCTTGTAGGGAGTGTATGGTCAACAGAGCCGTAAGGTTTATCGCCATGCCAGCAAGTATGTTTCAAACTAACGGCGGTTGTACGACGTGCAACGGCTGACATAGCGATGACATCGGAACCAGCTTCAGCCGCACTCGACTCCCATTGCCCAAACGTAGGCTGAAAGTTGGTACAGAATTTACAAAACAAGTGTATATTTAGCAGCGTACATCCAGCAACCCGAAACATGATAACTATCAAATAGGCGGACAACGAAGTTCTGATAATTCGGCGACTCCAACTTTGCAGAGATCGGTATTTCGTGGTGGTGGGTCTGTGTCACATGATACTGCATGACAACGTGCTGTGCCTAACAATGTCGAAAGTTTGACGACATATGCATCTATCGTCGCTGCATGCAAATCACAGTCAAAGTTGGCGGATATATGTGCAACCACTGCAAAGATTCATAGAAGCGCCACACGTAACAATGAGGCTCTGAAATGACCGCCCACCACGCAGCCAGTATAAAGAGACACTATGCTATCTAAATGGAAATCTATATGCCAAGCAGTGGGAATCCAACCCATACAGGTTAGTTTGCGTCTGATCGTCCAGCATACAAACTCAGTTTACTATGGTAAGCCAAGACTACTTCAGGTGACATTATAGTCTGGTGACGTAGCGGAGACCGTTCTCTCGTCAGCTCACTGTCTTCGTGATTTGTCATGCAGCGTTCGCATATTCCATGACATCACTTGAAGTGAGCATCGGCAAAGTAAGTAAAACCCAGGATAACACTGCAAGGAAACCGACGAAATGTCCGCCTTTGTCCATAGTGTCTCCGTAGTGTCTCCATAGTGTCATCCGACGAGTCGCAGGTCCAATCGCATGACTTGGAAGAGTGGTGATATATCCGCAAACATATCTCTCTATACGATGTGATTAACAACTCAACGTCATGGTTACCCATATCATCAAACTACAAAGGAAGTGATCCAAGGTTTTTGCAAGCATTTCTGTACTCAAAATAAATGGTTGCAAGTTGCTCGGTAGTTACCAAAAGTTACGCACCAAACTGCTATCAGAAATATGTCTAAAGGTGGTCGAAACCAGGCCATCATTGACTGAGGGATCACAAAGCCAGCGAGATAATGTCGCAAGTACCGTTTTCTGCATCACTGTAACTCCTCATTTGGGCGAAGAGGAAATAGCAGAAAATTCTTTGCAATTGGACGCCGTGGGATTAGGTAGTGGGTTCTTTTGGCAACAGATCGAAACGTCCCTTAGGGAAAGACAATCATTTCACCTAAAAATCGATTGTTAGCCGGTCCCACAAAGGTCGGCGTAAATGCAAGGAAAACGTTTGTGCGTTCTGATACATATCTCACTCCTATTGCTGCAAAATACTTGTGTATAAAAGCGCAAGGTCCTCGCAGCAAATTGGCTGTAGTTTGATCTCCTCAAAACCATATGTTGAGTCCCTACCATGGTAACCGAAACATGGCTGAACGAGGTTATTAACGATGCCGTAATGGCACTACACCGTTTTGCAATCATTTGCTAGGACTGACCCACTAAGCGAGGCGGTGTAATTCTTAACTACTTTTTCGATATTTTCATCAATGTGGTAAATAAGCGTGGGATTTAAATCGAGGACGCCATCTAGTGCTGCCTACACATGAGGCAGGGCAACTATGGTATACCGCCTACCAAAGTCGACTTTTGTAATTCCACTTTGAAATACTTACTTGCACGATCTTCCAGTCATGATAGGGAACCTCCATCTATACCGCCTAGAAAATCCAGCTTCAATGGGTGAGCAATTCAATGCGTAACTGCAAGAGTTAATCTCTGGTTCATAGCTGTATGAGCATTTACCTTTTCCACTCCATTTCAAGACATGTAACAAACCGGGCACTCTGGGCCAAGATTTCACCAACAAGAAACCAGAGATTAACGTAAGTAAAACATGTACTCCTTAGGGTCGCAGCGATGATGAGTCACTACATTCCAGTACGTGCTACGCGGCGTATCCTAAAGAGCTTACCGAGATTTCTCACGTCGTAACCAACTAGTATGACCTATCCAATCTTATTGCTGCAACAAGCTGGTCGTCCCTAGCCGAACGGTCCCCTGAGGTGACCTGCTGAGAATTCCTCACAATAATCCACAGGGTTGTGGCAAGCACATCTGAAAACAAAATTCACCGACCTGAAAAGATGAAATCGTTCCTAAGGAGCAGGACGCGCAAATGCTTGGCATTGAGGGACATGGCATGGCTCACCTTCATAAGCTGTCCGAAGCAGGACACCTGGGGTGTCTACACAACAAAACGGGGTCACTGTGCTTAACTCGTCCGGGAGGATAAAGCACAAAATACCAAAAAGAATTTGTGGTGACATTTTGCGAAATTCCTGTTTTGCACACAGCATGTAGGCTGGCACAATAGGCGCAAGAGACAGTCCATGTACTTGAACAACAATTTGGACATACCTCCCAAATTGTGCAATCTTCTTACATCTTGCCTACGCAGAGCGTGCTGCCATCAGGACATAATCATATATGGTTTACCTCCACAACTGAAGTGAAAAGGCTGATGTCCTTACGCGAAATCAGCTCTCCTGGTGCGAATGACATTTGCCTGGATGTGTTGAAGGTTGCTGGCTTGAATTTAGCTGAACCGCTAGCAACTCTATTTTGGCGATATCTTAAAAATTTGAATGGAATCTTCACTTCAAGCCAAAAAAGATGTAGCCGTCTAATCCAACGACTTTTCACTCGATAACACTAATTCCGGTGATTTTCAAACTTATGGAAAACAATGTAGCTGAAGCTTGAACGGGTACTTAATGAGCAACAAAATTCTCCTTCCGGTGCAACACAGTTTTCACCATAATCGGTTCAGTACTACTAACTTGCTGATTGCTCGTGCATGTTGGATAGACAATGTGGATGCTGGTGTAGGAGTGGATACAGCTTACCTGAATCAATTAAAGTTATTGGACCACCATGTCCGTCGCACATTAATGCTTAAATTCTAGCATAATGGAATCAGTGGTCTTGTTCTGGGCTCGGTGGGAGACGTTCGAGTTCGACGTCACTTGAATGTGAGGGTTCACAACACCTTATCCTAACCCAAAGAAGCTCAGTTCGGTGTACCTCAGGGCCCGGTACTCTAACGTCGCGTGTTCCTGGCCTGCATAAATTGTCTCCGGTGAGTGCTATTTTTAAACTGTCTGCTATTTGCGATGATCTAAACATATGGCGTGCTAGTATTACAGTGTAGGTCTACACATCCTTACAAGATGACCTGGACAAAGCCTACACATAGCCCATGGAGAACATGCTGCATTTCAACGCCACCAGGTGCAGAGATCTCAGCATACGGTGTTATATTGCTCACAGATATCACTTAGGACTACAAAGAGTGCAGCTGGATAATTATGAGTGCGATCATGGCGGAATTGTTCAAGATAACCTTGGTTGTTTGTTGCAGATTGAAGAGGTATCAAAAAAGCAAAGCAGAACATTGGACTTCATCGTAAAGAGTTCGCGATGAGTAACGCATCAGTCTTTCCGAATATGCTAAGTGCTTGCGTGAGGCCGCTTGCGAAATATGTAGTCCAAGCATGGCAAGGCTGGCTGTAATATCATCTCACCACGCTCGATACTGTATTAAGCAGGGCGAATAAAACCTCGAGGCTAGTCCCAACTTCCATACACACTCAGGCTAAAAATCTCAAAATATACAGCGGAGGTCATGGTGTCTACGGGTGATTTCATAAGGTTGTAATGAATACTAAACAACCTCAACCACGCACGCAAATCCCTTATGAAATGCAGAAAAATGTTCCTTTAAAAGGTTATGAGGATAAGTTGATCACGATTTTCATATATATATATATATATATATATATATATATATATATATATATATATATATATATGTATAGTTAGCGGAATCATTGTCCTGATCTGCCCATAACTGCGGACTCCACAAATAACCACGGGGCGCGTGCACCTACAGAGAGACCAGGAGCGGCTTGCGTTCCACCAACCACAGCTCCATACACACAACCATATGCAGTGTAAAC